CGGTTATACATAAATAGGTCTCTACCAATCTCATGAAATATTCCATCCATATTCAAAGTTATTAAATATTGAACACAATCTAATAAATACAACCAAGTTAATCAAGACTTTGATTGGTGGCTGCGGGTTCATAAAAAGCTTGTGAAGGAAGTTTTTCCAGGGTTTTACTCAGATCTTCTATCTCCCTCCCCCGTTTTGGAGTGAGGGCAGGAATTGTATTATATGCATGTGCAGGCATTTTGAGTTGTGTCGATGCGGATGTAGGTGCGCTGGGTTGTTCTCTCTTGGTAATCGTGTGCTGGGCAGGATTGCTGCGTGTGGGTATGTCAGAGGATGTGTCCGGCGTACTGTTGGTGTGTGTCCTGTGAGAGGAGGCAACACTGGAAGGTTCCCTTGGATGCTGGCTCCTCTGTGGTTTCTTCTCTGCACCTTGGCAGTGGCTTGGACACAGGGATCCCACAGTCCCTATAATTCTTTGGAGGGTATCCGAAGGTTGCTTTTTCTCAGGGTTGTGTAAGTAGACGTTGGTGTCCGAGAGCACGTGCCTTCTTGTGTTTTGGCTCGAGGATCCTCGCTTGCCTTACCCTAGTGCCAGCCCTAAAGCGCAAGACTCGGTTGCGTGGAGGGAAGAGCTGTGAGCAGGCTTGAATTCAAATGTGGGTTCTATCACTTTGTCTTGGACCCTCAGTTTCCCCTTCTGTGAAAGGGGGATGATACTGCCTGCTGTAGACTATTGCTGGGAGAGTTAAATGAGACCCTATGTATACCTTAGTAATAAACTGTAGACATGGGGATGCTGGGGTGTTTCAGTTGGTTACGCGTCTGCCTTGGGCTCAGGTCATGATCCCGGGGTCCTGGGATCAAGTCCCGCATCGGGCTCCCTGCTCAGCGGTGAGTCTTCTTTTTCCTCTCCCCCTGCCACTCCCCCTGCTTGTACTCTCTCTCTGTCAAATAATTAAATAAAATCTTAAAAAAGGAAACTGTATATATTTTATTTATTCTCTTAACAAGGCTAAGCCTCTTGTAATAGATATGGAGGTAAGTAAGGCCCCAAATACCTTAGGGTGTGGTGGGGCAGGTTTCAGTGGAGGAGTTGAAATCTTTCCGTCACTCAACAAATTCCAGTCATCCCCTGATGGGTTTTCGGTGGCTGCTCCTCCCTGGGCCTCTGACCCAGGGCTCTGCGAAAAGCGAAATCGAGAGGGGGAAGCAAGGAGAGGAGGGAGAGGAGAGGAGGGAAGGAGAACATAGGGAATTCCCTGTACACCTGAGTGGAAGGAGGGTGGGGAGCATTGCGGCTGGAGTCCTGGACATCCGTCCTGTGTCCTAGCCTTCTGGTCCTTTATTTCTAAAAATGAGAAGGCGCTCCCACCTTGGTCACCAGAGTTTGGGCCTCCTCACCTTCCAGTCCCATCCAGGCTGAAGTGTTTAGAGGTGGAAATGAACTGGGTGTCAGATGCCATTTTATGGGAGAAGAGACACTTGGGAGAGCTCTAGAAGGAAAGATAGGAGAAGCCCAGGGGGAGGGGAGTGGGGGGGAGCAAAGACAATGATGTCCATTCTGCTTGGGCTCTATTGATTTTCTGTGTGGCCTTGAGCCAGGTGAGCCTTCTTTCTGAGCCTTGGTTTCCTCCTCTGTGAGATGGGGATGGTAGCAGTGTTTATCTCATTGTCATTCCCATTTTGCAGACAAGAACACTGAAGCACAGAGGGCTTAGGTAGTTCACTTGCCCTCACCTAGCTAACAAGTGATGGAGGCAGGACTCGAACTCAGGCAGCTGCTTTGCGGGCCTCTGCTCTCAATCACCTCACTCCACTCCTGCGCTCTACTGTCTTCTTGCCCCAATTAGAACGTAAGCTTTTTGAGAGCAGGACTTATAGCTCAGAATAGTGGACTTTTGTCTCAGATTAGGCATTTCGAGGAGCAGCCTGGTCTTCGATGTTATCGTAATTTCCAAAACAAACTTGCAGCTGGGTTGAACATGTCCACAGCAGTGGGATGTGCAAAGCAGTGCTCCCGTAAGCAGGCACTCGGGAACTGGCAAATGAATGATGGCTCATGGGCTCCAACATGACCCCGAGCTGACCCTCAGAGATATTTGCTAAAAGTGTTCCTGGCTCTGTTGGGACCTGTGTCCTTGGAGGTCTGCCATCTGGGCGGAGAAGGTGCAGCTTTATAGATCCATGTGGCTTTTTAGAGTATGGCAGAAAACCAGGCAATCCCCAGCGCAGCACAGAGGGGGCCAGCAACCCCAAGCTGCGCAATTCACGCCTGACAGGGTGGCAGTGTGGGAGTGTGTGGTGTGGGGGAGCAGGTTGCTTCCTGTGCATTTGCTCCTTGAGATGCGGTGGGAGGGTTATCCGGGAAGACCTGCCCACCTCCCTGAACCTGGCAGAACTGGGGTTTGAGAATTACAAATGGCTGTCTACCACCCAGAGGTGAGGGTGAAAGGCATGGTAGGAGGTGGAAGGTATAATCCAAAAGGCAATGTGAAGATGAAGAAAAAATATGCAAATACCTACCTTGTAGACTATCATTGCTAATGGTTGTCCAGCGCTCCTCTGTGTATTATTTGGGTTAATCCTCAGAGGGCTCACAGTGCTCTTATCCATCCCAACCTACTCACAGGGTAACTGAGGTTAGGGAAGCAAAATGGCGGTCCAGTGTCACAGTTAGTAAGGGCTGGAGGAGGAGTACAAACCCAGAAAGTTCGGACCTGTTCTCTTAGCCTTTGGCATCTCTGATACCCACAAACTGCAGCACCCCAGAGCTGGAGAAGGTCTTGGAGAGTATCTGTTTCAGCTCCTTCATAGTCAGGTGGGGAAACTGAAGGTCAGAGAGGCATCGAGATGGACCAAGGTGACACAGCTAGTTAGTGACAACCCTATTTGACCAGGATTAGGGTGAAGCAGGAAGACTCCCGGGGTGCAGAATTTAAGGAGGTGCTCCCTCTCAGATGCTCACTCTGTATATGCATGACACAGGCAGTGACCGCCTCTTTTTTTTTAAATTTTTTAAAAATTTTGTTTTTTGAAAGATTTTGTTTATTTTTATTTATTTGACAGAGAGAGAAAAACAGCATGAGAGGGGATAGGGTCAGAGGGAGAAGCAGGCTCCCCGCTGAGCTGGGAGCCCGATGTGGGACTCGATCCCAGGACTCCGGGATCATGACCTGAGCCGAAGGCAGTCGCTTAACCAACTGAGCCACCCAGGCGCCCGGCAGTGACCACCTCTTTAAACGTGCCCTGGGTGCCTCACTTGCTTACCCAGGTCCAGCCCTGGCCTGATGCTTCTTCTGGGTTTGTGGTGTGAACAACAGAGGCCCCAGCATGGGTTTATTTATTGGATTTGATGTCCCAAGGTAGGGGACTTGATGGGATATTTGTGTGGGGTTTTGCCAATATCCCAAGGCAGGTTTCTACCCAGGGCTGGATGGAGGGTCTGCTTCTGGTTGGTATCATGGAAGGGACAGGATTAAAAGGGGCAAACTCTGGCCCCAGCAATTCGAGGTGAAACTAGGAGAATGATGATCCTGTTTTGATGAAGCAGGGCTACAGAATGGGATCTGTGGGAATCAGGACCCTGCAGCTCTCCTCTGGATCCCACTGGGCTGAAATGTGGAAAATGCCAAGAAAAACCTGCCCCATCAGACCCAGAATGAAGATGATTATCAGTGGTTGACCTTTGAGGGCTAGGTGCCCGGACAGAATTACAGACACACATTTCTCCAAGCTTCAGACAACCTGTTTGCTTTATTTGTTAAGAAATTCCTGGGGAGACGTGTGTATAGCACCTTTCCCCCAGCCTGGGCCTTCCTGCTCTTGTTTTAGTTCAAGGAGAAAAGGAGACAAATTACACAAGCAAAGCACCCTGTTGCTGCTTTATCCCTAATAAGCAGAAGTACATTGGTAAGTCCCCCATTGCTCAGAGAAGAGTGGGGCTGGGGAGAAGGGGTTCCACTCTCCACATCTGGGCCAAGTCTTCCGTTAGGGCTCAGCACCTTCTAGGAGTGCTGTGGGGCTAGCCAGTTGGCCCAAGGTGGGAGAAGGCTTCCTCCTAGTGGCCCTGGGGGCTTGGGGCTTGGGACAGGCACCCTCGCATTTACCCTCGCATTTACCCTGCCAGCAGAGGAGCAGGGGTGACTAGGCCCCGCCTCTGGAGCAGACCTCAGCGAGGCAAGTCCTTGCTCTCTTCTCTCTGGGCCTCAGTTTCCTCCTCTTACCAGGCTTGGCTCAACCCAGCTTGCTTCGGGGTTTGACATTCTGCGGGTTGTGCCTTCTCGATTTATCCCCCCTGGCCCAGAAATTTCTCAAGCCCCTTTCTGGAGTTCCAGTCTCCAGCCCTGGCCGGTCCCTCTCTATCCTTAGCCTGTTACCAGCAGGCCTAGGGGCTCCCCCGGCCTCCCTTCCCGAGGCAGCCCGCAGGCCGTTCTGACCCACCCGGAGGGAGGAGGGGAGAATAAACGACAATAGAGACGGGAAAAGGTTAGAAGGAAGAGAAAATAGCGAAGAGACACAGAGAGGGGGTAGAGAGAGGAAAGAGGGATGGGAGAGGACCGAGCAGAAGGGCGAAAAGAAGGGGTGGAGGGTAGGGTGGTGAGAAGAGATGCTGGAAAATCCAGAATCAGAGAAAGGGAACCTAAAGGAAAGCTGGAGAGGACTGAAAGATAGGAAAAAGCAGGCGAGCGAGCGAGGGAGAGCAGGGTCTGAAAGGACCGAAGGGGGAGACGGAAGGAAAGGGGAGGAGGGAGCCACGAGCAGGGAGGAGGGAGCTGGGCGGGAAGAGGAGGGAGGGACCGAGGGACGCGGGGGGTGGGGGCTGGCTCGGTAGCAGCAGCCGCGGC